TATGATTTGTTACACCCCTACCTGCTACAAAACATATTTGTCTTGTTGAAGAAAGTCAATTAATTTAAATCCTATTTTGTTCTAAACAAGAAGATATAACTTTAATCAAAACAACAAACACAATGTTCATTCATCCAATAAAAAAAACTAGGGTTATGGTTTCACTTCTAAATTTGATCACTTAAGCCACAGGTGTCAAACTCAGTTCCAAAAGGGCCGCAACTCTGCACAGTTTAGTTCTAACCCTAATTAAACACACCTGATCAAACTAATTGAGTCCTTTAGGCTTGTTTGAAACCTACAGGTAAGTCTGTTGGAGCAGGGTTGGAACTAAACTGTGCAGGGCTTCGGCCCTTTTGGAACTGAGTTTGACACCCCTGAATTAAGCCAATGAAAAAAAACATTTGCCTTAATATTGTTTTAAGTCTAGGAAAGTACAAGGCATATTGAGCTTTTGTTTAATATACACATGCACTTAATATTTTACATTGGTCAAAAATAACAATTCTTAGTTAGGCTCTTAATCAAAAACATTTAAATTAGACTATGTTTTGAGGTTAAAATATCCTACTAGAAATATAAAACACGTAATATTAAACTGAAATGAGCGATACATTTTTAATTGGATGAAGTACTGCTTGATTTTTTTTTTTCATTGTATCAGTTCTTGTCGCTGCTCAATTATTAAAAATGGTTTTTAGTTTTATGGATGTTCAAAGCAGTTCCTGATGCTTAATCTTTTGATTTGTAATTTTCAAGAAGAATAGAGAGCTCAAAAGAGCAGCATTTATTCTTTGGGAACGTCATACTGTTACTCTTTGTCAAGACTGAAAAAAGCTTTACTTTTTTTCCTCACTCCAAACTTTGTAATGGTTTGCAATCTTGCAAAAGCAGCTCATACAGTTGGATGTTAAAAGGATCATGACCTAAAAAAATTCTTTATGCTTCTCTGACATTCACTGAAAATGGTAAACAATAAATTGAAAGTAATAGGCTATTTGTCCTGTTCTGGCTGCCCTCATCAGAATGCACTTGTTGAATTGTAGACTAGGTACTGTGTCTATTATGTACCCAAGTGGCACATTTACACAACCTGTTGTTTTGGCAGATGCTAACAAGAAAAGTTTTAATTCTGACACAGAAGGTGTTTCTCCAGCACAGTGACTAGACATGGGCCGGTGTAAGATTCTGACGGTATGATAACCATGGGTTAAAACATTGCGGTTTCATGTATTGTGATCACTCCTCTTAAATGTGTTCTTTTTAAATGTCTGAGTAAAAAACAACTTTATTTCCCCTTTAATCACAACACAGTTGAACGCAAAAGAAGATATTTTGAAGAATGTTAGAAACCTGTAACCAATGACTTCTATAGTATTAGTTTTTCCTACTATAGAAGTAAACATTTATAGAAGAAAACAAAGAAACTCGAATGTGTTTGTGACAAGTGAAGGTTGAGAAAAAAACTGAACTTTCATTTTTGTGTGAAGGATCCCTTCAAAAGGACGGTTGATTAAAAAAAAACAGAGGAAGTCAATTAAAAAAATAATTCACCCAAAAATGTTAATATATTAACCTCAAGTGGCTAATTTAAAAAAAAAAAAAAAAAACGGAATGTGTTTGACAAGTGAAGGTTGAGTGAAAACTGACAGAACTTTAATTTTTGGGTGAAAGATCCCTTCAAAAGGACAGTTGATTTAAAAATAAAACTAAGAAGGGTTACATGTTTTAACATTTTTTCAAAATAACTTATTTTCTGATCAAATGAGACAGAATTTTCGTTTGTGGGTGAACTATCCCTTTAAGATGTGTTTTTGTCAGTCCCACAATAAGTGGACAATGCCACGTTTGAGCTTATTGAGCATTTGACCTTTTGACCTCTTTCCAGAGGTAGTCGAAAACACATTCAACTGGTTTGCTTTCATAATCGCTCATGTGGCTGAATGGGTTCGAGCTGCCACTGCCGACTGACCTCATTCTTAAACATTATGGGATGTGGATGTGTTTGAAATGCTTTAGCTAGACAGGATTTAAACTTTGCTGTCTGAAATCGTAAGATTGATTTGAAGCTGAAGAAATGTAGAAAGAGCAATGTTCTAGCAGTCCTTATTCTAATAGAAACCCACAGTGCTGGTTTGCTGCAGAAATGAAAGCAGTGGCTCTTCATATCTTTTCCTGTCAGCTCTTTTTTCCTTCATATGTAAATTTTGTGGGTTTATTTCACAGTATTAGATTGAAATAGCACAAAATGCATGTATCTGGACATCCCAAATTAAGTTACGGAAGTAGTTGAATATGGACGACATAGTTGTAAGTGAGAAGTCACTCAAAAATGAAAAATTGCTCCCCCTCAAGTGCTTTCAAACCTTTATGAATTTCTTTATTTGTTGAACACAGGAGAAGATATTTTAAAGAAAGCTGGAAACCTGTAACCATTGACTTTTATAGTAGGAAAAACAAATACAATACTATTGAAATCAATGGTTACAGGTTTCCAGCAGTCTTCAAAATGTCATCTTTTGTGTTCGACAGAAGAAACTCAAAGTTTTAAAACCAGTAAAGGGTGCGTACATGACCAATAGGGCTGTGCGATTAATCGAAATCGAATTGCGATTTAAAACGTTGTGATTAGCTAATTGCAAGAAGCTGCGGTATGAAATGAATATATGTATTATTTTAATTCCCCCACCCAGAGCAAATGCGTGACTTCTGGCTGTGTGTGACAGTCTTACTAGCCAATTGAGTAGCACACTTTCATTCTGCCCAATCAGAATCATGCAACTATGCCCACTATAAAAACAAACAAACAAACAGAAAAGTGAAGACGAGTGGGATGATGGCACCTACTGCTTCATAAGCATTAACAGATTAATTAATATTAAAAAACAGCATGTCGGTAATATGGGAATACTTTGGTTTCACAGACACCAAACAAAAAGGTAATTTGTAAGAGCTGTCGCAGAATTGTTGCCAGCACCAGGAAATACAACAACCAGCACTTAAAAAAGCACCACAGGTGGCTATATGAGGAGCGTCTTGCTAAAAAGTCAACGAAAGTTTTGCCAGAGACACTTAATCTAGTAGCAAGCAACAGCAATGTACAATTTGTAGTTGTGTGCGGCTGTTATACCATATGAAAACACATCACAAAGGCACCAGGAGATAATTAACGCCATAACTCACAACCTTGCTAAAGACATGGTGCCTTTTAATACAGCGACCAAAGAGGGACTGAAAACCCCCTTCAGGAGTTATACACTTCCATCTCACACATATTTTAGCCATTTTGCAGTGCTACAGCTGTGCGTTGAATGTTGTGATATTTTGTGTAGCATCTGTGATAGTTATTTTGTTTTTAGACAATATAAGCTACAGAAAAGCTCTTATCAGCCATGTTTGTTTGCTGAGTGTTCTGTATTTTTATAGTTCTTACTTTTTTGTTACTATATTAGAGTTGAACTTATGGTCACTTTATTTGTGCTTATTGTTTGCTCTAGAGAAAAAATATAATGTTTCATTTCTGAATATTTAAAAACAAGTTTATAAAATCTTTTCAGTTTCTTTTTTGTAACTAACACTCACTTCATTTTAGCAGTAAGAAACAGATACAGATTATTGAGCTGAAGCTTAATTACAAAATTAAATTGCAAATCAAATCCAAATCACAATGTCAAAAAAAAAGCGCAATTGGATGTTTTCCCCAAATCAAACAGCCCTAATAACTGATTATTTTTTTATTTTATTTTTTACTTATTTTATTTTGATGATGAACTCACTTTACTACCAATTGTTAACATGTTATAATAACAACTCATGATAGAATAATATTTACATGAGCAATATCACACGAGTAGCAGTGCGATATGACTTTATATCAGCAGTGGTGGAAGGCGTGCGTTGGTTTGAGGCCGCAGGTCGAGTTCCTTAGTGTCCCACCAGTGCTGTTATACAGACACATTGCTCTGCTACAAGTGTGATATTGCTTTCATAACACTTCGATGACATAATCGTCTGTGTAAAAAAGAAATTTAAACATGGAGAGTCTAAAAACCCCTTTTTTTATGAGGAACTACTTTCTTCCATCACTCATTCACATATGCAGCTGACTGTCAGAACAGCAGAAACCCTTGCTACTCCACAAATGTCACATTAGAGCTAGTATTTGAATGATTCTCTAGCGTAATGTCTAAAGTGATGACAAAACAAGTAATTTTTGCTCCCATTTTAAGATTATAGGGCTGAACAGCATGAAAAGCCATCAATCTACAGAGATTTTCCTGTATTTGTTTCGCAGTCAGGATTTCATACGAAAAAGCCAAGTCAAAGCAAATTTCTACCAGATTACTACGGTACAAACACAGCACTACAACATCCAAAGGAGAGAGAGATCAACTTAGAATGACACTGACCTGTTTTATAATGATTTATTCAGCTGTAGTTTGAAATTTAAGTTGAGAAATAGCTGAATTTTTCTCTTTTGAGGGATTATTATGCGGTCTCTGTCGCTATCTTGTGGGGAAATATTAACCATCATGTTCTTTGGTCTGCTCAAACAGGCTGATGGCAGCCGATGCTCTGTCTCTCCAAAATTATAAATATTTAAAATAGGCACTGTCTGCATGGTTGCAATCTAAACAATGACATTCTCGACTAAAAAGCCTCAGTACATTATGTTGTCCAACAGCTGTTATATTTGTCAAGCTGTAGAGTGTCCTCTGCTTGTATCCGTATGTGGACGGAATAATACACAAGGGTGAAGAGGCTGTACGAGTGCTGTTTTTTTGCAGTATATCGTACAGCTGTTAGCCAATCAGATTCAAGAACCAGACAGAACTGTTGTATAAATTTAAATATTTGATCTATGCAGTCTCGAAACATTTAAAAATATAAAGCAGCTATATTCATTGCAGTCTTTTAATATGTATGTCGTCTTCTAGTCATCATTATTAAATGCTCAACTCTGTGTTTATGACTGTGTCTCCTCTTCCCTCGTCTGCTAGTGATGGAGTCAGCTGTCAGTACATCCACTCAAGTGCCAGATGAGTTCGACCGGAACGTTCCACGCATCTGTGGTGTGTGTGGAGACAAAGCTACTGGTTTTCACTTTAATGCCATGACCTGTGAGGGCTGCAAAGGCTTCTTCAGGTAAACGTGCACACACTTTTTCTCGTGCAATTTGGAATTCACACATTTGCACCAATGCTCATTAAGAAACACATTAACACATATAAGGTGTTAGCAGTGTGTGATACTGCCACTCTATTAATAGTGTATGTATGTGTGTTCATTAGGCGCAGTATGAAGCGGAAGGCCAGTTTTACCTGTCCTTTTAATGGAAGCTGCACCATCACTAAAGATAACCGTCGCCACTGCCAGGCCTGCAGACTCAAGCGTTGCCTAGATATTGGCATGATGAAAGAGTGTGAGTTACTTGCCAACATGACACATCTTGGAACACTGAACACAGGGAGCCAAGATATTCTTTGTTATTTTACGCTATAATTATAGTATAGATTTGAGTTAACCTGGAGTCTCAGTGGGTCATTTTTAATGGTCTTAAAGGGATAGTTCACCCCAAAAAAAGAATCATTTAATAATAAATAATGAATCATGTTCCAGACTTGGTGGACTTTCTTTCTTCTGTTGAATTTGAAGAAAGCTGGGAAATGTAATCATTGAAATCTATAGTAGTAGTTTGTACTATTATGGAAGTCAATGGTTACAGGTTTTCAGCTTCCTTGAAAATATATATTTTTAGCATTCAACAGAAGAAAGAAACCTATAATGGTTTGGAACCCCTTGAGGGTGAGATTACATATTCATTTTTGTGTGAAGGATCCCTTTATCCTCCTTTATGATCTCCTCCTTGTTGAACCCTACAAAGATATTTTGAAGAATGTTAGAAACTTGTAACCATTGACTTCCATAGTAGGAAAATCTTATACTATGGAAGTCAATGGTTACAGGTTTTCAACATATTTAAAAATATCTTTGTTTTGTGTTAAGTAGAAAAAGGGAAACTGGAATGTGTTTGTGACAAGTGAAGGTTGAGTAAAAAGTGATAGAATTTTCGTTTTTGGGTTAACTATCCCTTCATAAGGGGAGTTGATTTAAAACATTGTGAGGGATTAAATAAATTAAACAAATCACCCCAAAATTGTAATATACTTAATCTCAAGTGGTTTCATGCCTTTATAAGTTTCCTCTTTGTTGAACACTAAAGAAGATATTTTTAAGAATGTTAGAAACCTGTAACCATTGACTTCTATAGTACAAATTTTTTCTCCTATGGAAGTCAATGGTTACAGGTTTTCAACATTTTTCAAAATATCTTTTTTCGTGTTAAGCAGAAAGAGGAAACTTGAATGTGTTTGTGACAAGTGAAGGATGAGTAAAAACAGAATTTTAATTTTAAGGGGAGCTATCACTTTAGCAGGAGAGTTGATTTAAAAAAAACATAGAGGGAGTAAATAAACAAAAATTGTTCAACCAAAAATGTTAGTTTATGCTCAGCCCCAAGTGACTCGTCTTTCTGTTGAATGCAAAAGAAGATATTTTGAAGAATGTTAGAAACCGGTAACCATTGTCTTCCATAGTAAGATAAACAAATACTATGGAAGTCAAGGGTTACAGGTTTTCAACAGTTTTCAAAATAACTTATTTGTGTTATACAAAACAAGAAACTGGAATTTGTTTTTGACAAGTGAAGGTTGAGTAAGAATGACAGAACTTTAATTTTTGGCTGAACAATCTCTTCAAAAGGAGAGTTGATAAAAAATAAATGAGAGGGAGTAAATAAAAAAATTGTTCACACCAAAAATGTTAATATGCTCACCCTCAAATGGTTTCCTACCTTTATGAGTTTCCTCTTTCTGTTAAACACAAAATAAGGTATTTTGAAGAATGTTAGAAATCTTTAACCATTGTCTTGTATAATAGGAAAAATGAATACTATGTCAAATTACTTTTTTCGTGTTAAGCAGAAAGAGGAAACTGGAATGTGTTTGACAAATGATAGAATTGAGTAAAGGTTGTGTAAAAAAAATCAGAACTTTCATTTTGGCTGAACTATCCTTTCTAAAGGAGAGTTGATTAAAAAAAATGGAGAGGGAGTAAATAAAAAAATAATTCACGAAAAGATTTTAATATGCTCACCCTTAAGTGGATTCATACCATCATGAGTTTCCTCTTTGTTGAACACAAAAGAAGATATTCTGAAGAATGTTAGAAACCTGTAACCATTGACTTCCATAGTGAGATAAACAAATACTATGGAAGTCAATGATTACAGGTTTTCATTGTGTTCCAAAATAACTTATTTTCTGTTCAACAACAAAAAGAAGCTGATTTGTTTGTGACGAGTGTAGGTTTTGTACAAATCTACACTTTTCAGTTTTAGGTGAGCTACACCTTTAATGGCAAATTATGGATCTGGTGTTTGTAAGTCTCTTCCAAACAAAAGGGAGTAATATGATCCTTTCACTAAAGTTAAATAAAGGCTATTAGCAAAGTGATACTTTGTATAAGGAAGTAGTTGTGGTATTTGTGAGCAAACAATCCTACGTGGCGTTTTGTTTGCTAGTCATTTTGAAAGTGAAAGGTACTTCAATTGTGCGCTTCTAAACAGTCACTTCCCAGCAAGCATTTTTGTGTTTAATAAATGTCTAAACATAGACGTCTTGGTTAAACCAAGGCTAAATTTGGGCCGTCAGTGAAAATCTAATAGACTTTTAACAATATGCCAAAAATAACCCAGTCATCAATTAGACAGGAATGAATGACTGCACATGTGATAATCTATTTTTGGATTATTGTTCAACGTCTATTAAATTTTCTATGTTAAACACAAATTAGCTTGGTGGCTTGTTTTGAAGAGATTTCAGTACAAAGTATTGTTTGTATGTTGTCAATTTTAAAAACAATCATCACTCGCAGAGAGATAAGATAAAATTAATAAAAGTTATATGGAGGCAATATTTGATACCAATGTTTTATTTACCCCATCAATCGTAATATAACAGCTATAAACTTTAATGTTGGAACTATGTGCTTAAGGTCGCAGTGTGATTAAAAATAAACTGCTGCTAGTGTTTGTTCTTCTCATTTAGGACATGTTTTCAAATTGAGAGATGCTGATTCATTTAGAGAGATTAAAAAATTACTAACAATAGTTTGTTATTCCAGTAAGTTTAGTTATTATAGTATATATACAGTTGAAGTCAGAATTATTAGCCCCCTTTTGATATTTTTTTTCTTTTTTAAATATTTCCCAAATGATGTTTGACAGAGCAAGGAAATTTTCACAGTATGTCTGATAATATCTTTTCTTCTAGAAAAAGTCTTATTTGTTTTATTTAGGCATGAATAAAAGCAGTTTTGAATTTTTTTAAAAACAATTTTTGGGACAAAATTATTAGCCCCTTTAAGCTATTTTTTTTTGACAGTCTACAGAACAAACCATTGTTATAGAATAACTTGCCTAATTACCCTAACCTGCCTAGTTCACCCTATTAACATAGGTAAGCCTTTAAATGTCACTTTAAGCTGTATAGAAGTGTCTTGAAAAATATTATTAGAAATAGGTTTTTAAAACTATTATGCTTAGAAATGTGCTGAAACAATCTTCCGTCCATTTAACAGAAATTGGGGAAAAAAATAAACAGGGGCGCTAATAATTCAGGGGGGCTTATAATTCTGACTTCAACTGTATATATGTATTTATTGTTTATTTTTATTTATTTATTTTATTTATTATTTTGTTTTTTATTTGTTATTTTTTTATAATCTATAATTTATTTTTATTTATTTATTAATTTATCCTTATTAATTAAAAAATATTTATTCATTTTTATTACTTATGTATTTTATTAATTTTATTAATTTTATTTAACAATTTTTACTTTTAATTTTTTCATTTATGATTTATTTTTATTTATTCATTTATACATTTTATTTATTATATATTTTTATAATTTTATTATTTGTATTTGTTTATCCATTCATACTATTTATAAATTTTTATATATTTAAATTTTTATTTATTAATTTTTATTATTTATTTTAATTTATTTATTCATTTTATTTAAACTTTTTTATTTATGATTTATTTTAATTTATTTATTAATTTTAGTTATTATTATTTTTTATTTAATTATGTATTATTTATTAGTTTTTATTTAATTTATTATAAAAATGTTTTATGTACTTTTTTATTATTTGTACTTATTTTTTATTTTTTATATTTTTCATTTATTTATTTTTATATCTATCTATCTATCTATCTATCTATCTATCTATCTATCTATCTATCTATCTATCTATCTATCTATCTATCTATCTATCTATCATCTATCTATCTATCTATCTATCTATCTATCTATCTATCTATCTATCTATCTATCATCTTCAAGTAAATCAGTCACTATTTGCTACTATCTAAATCATGATTAAATATGTTTTAACTTGTGAACACGGAAATGTACAGTTTTTTTGTATCTCAGTCTATATTTTGCTGTATTCAGTTAGCTACAAAAGGATATTAATTATACTCGTTTGTGTTTTTTCTTCAGTTATATTGACAGATGAGGAAGTTCAGAGAAAGAAGGAGCTGATTCAAAGAAGGAAGGATGAGGAGGCTCACAGGGAGGCGCAGAAGCCCCGGCTTTCAGATGAGCAGCGCAACATCATTGACACACTGGTGGACGCGCATCATAAAACATACGACGATTCCTACTCTGACTTTTCACGCTTCAGAGTAAATAGTCTTATTTTCCTTTTCTGAGTAGCATCCTCTCGCTTTTAGGCACTTTTAAGATCAGATTTTATAGTGGCCATAGTGAGTTTTGGGGCAATTAAGTTTTCATTAGATGCAAATTATCAAATTGAGTGGCATTTGCAAACAAATCATTCTTAGAATGACCTTTTCTCTGCCGGTAAATTTCTTTCTTGGTTTGTTTTAAAATAAAAATAAAAAACTTCTTGCAGATCTATGAGGAACTTATTATTAACATTGTGCACTGACAATCAGTAAGTGTCTAGATACACTTTGCCTCAGTTTACAATTTTTATAATTTAACAAAACCAAACCATTTCTTTTTTTTTCCTGACCAGATGTGTGTGACAGGTCTGTGTGAACAGTCAAATTGGGGTGATGTAAACACAATAAGTCTCTTTTTTTTTACTTCCTAATGTTAAAATAGGATCCAAATCTCTCCTATTTTGATGCCCACCACAACATGAAGTAGGAGTGCGGTTTTCCCCGCCCACCAAATTGATTGACAGTATGAACATGTTTCCATAGTAACATGTGCAATCATATCAACATGACAGAACTTGCGCAAAACAACCAGGATTAAAAGATCTGTTTGGGTTGCTGTGATCATCAATCATGTGATCAGCGCGTTCTGTGTGTGTGTGGGTGCGTGAACTTTGTAACGACATTGTATGTGACTCATCGTTGCAACTCCACAACAAATACATCAAATAATCATTGGGACAGTTCTTACTGTAGTATTTCTCACAAAAGTTACATGAGATCTGCTTCCTTCATGTCTGTCACTGTGCTGTTTATCTGACACCGCCAAGGTGGAGATTGAGGCACACTCTGACAGACACGTAGAACTAGCATTAAAGGCACAGGCAACAAAAACAGCTACATTGTATTCAGAGCAGAAAATCTAATATTCTGAAAGGTATAATAAATAAACTGATTGGTGTCTTGAGCTGAAGCTTTACATACAATTTCTGGAGACACAAAAGACTTATCTTAAATCTTGAAAAAGGGGTAAGAAAAGGTGGTAAAGATGGTGTGCCGCCTTTATTAATGATGGCGTTCGCCACTTTACGAACGGATTGGGAAAAACTGCATGTAAAAATGTGTTCTATGTCTTCATCGTGTCGATGCACGATGCCAACAGTCGGTCAGCGAGTAAAAAAATACAATGGATAAAATACATAGGCCTGTGCGTATAGACATATAATGTACTGCTATACAGTAACGAATCATCTGTTTGTTTCGTTTGTCTTCATTTTAATTGTTACGTGATGATGCGATTGTGTGCTTTATCTGCATGCATGATTCCCACTGAACTGGGCGGGGTTGTGTGACGTTTGATTCGGGGATGTTCTGGGGGTGGGGTTTGCGTGACGCGATGTGAGCTACTAGCCCGTCAGTGGAAACGCGACATGATTTTGGCCTCACTGCTCCCGGGCTATTGGCCCGGCCCGATAAAAGCCCTGGCTTGTACTGGCCCGACAGTGGAAATGCAGCTTTTTGCCCACCTTGTACTTGTTCCAAACCTATTTAAGTTTCTGTTGAACACAAAAGTAAATGTTTAGAAAAAAGTTGAAAACCTGTAACCACTTCCATAGTCAGGGTATCTGCGGGGTCTTAAATGTCTTACATCTCAAAAGCCAAATTTTAGGCCTTAAAATCTTAAATCTACTGAAATGTTGTGTTGTAGGTCTCTTTTTAAAAGGTCTTAATTTTCCTTTGTTAATGAATCGCTACCCAATCTGGTCATTAACACCCATACAATTACCAACAACCCCAATCTCAATAAAACTTTAAACTTTTTATTTAAAAATAGTGTTTAATTATTTCCTTACAGAAACATTAACAAATTCTCAATTTATTTACTGCTGAGGATACTCACAGGACCTATTTTTTTATTATTAAATTATTTTTATTGTAGACTGAAGTAATTGACAGCTATGTTTTGTTCTTGTTTTGGTAAGAGTTACAGGGTTTGTGAACAGATATTTTTGAAAAATGATTTTAAAAATTCTAACTAAATTATTATTATTGTATTAATAAATGTATTCATTTGTAATAGTTTTGTATAGGGCAAGTAAAAATCTTTTCTAACTGGGATATTTGAAAAAAAAATCCTTAGCATTTAGCCCTGCATAAGTCTAAAATTAAGTCATAATGGTCTTGAAAATGTCTTAAAATTAACTTGAGGAAACCTGCAGAAACTTCTAGTATGTTTTTTCTAATAGTTATGAGTTTTTCAGCTTTCTTCAGAATATCCTCTTTTGTGTGAACAAAAAAGAAAGAAAACTGTTTAAAATCATTTGAGGGTGAGTACATAGGGATTTTGGGTGAATTATCTCTTAAGTAAAATCCTAAAAGCAAGCGTCATCTTCCTAAAACAATCCAACAACCAAACAATAGTGAGTGAGTTGCATCTTAGACCCAATACAGTGTGTTTCTTTGTTTTTACACAAAGCTCAGCATCTCAGAGCAACACTGCAGTTTCCTTCCCTGATCAATGATCCATTCATGAAGAAAGCTGCTTGCTTGTTTTCTAAATGAACCAGTGTTTTGAACGAATCATTTGAACGATTCAATGAATGAATGATCTGTGAATTGCTCATTAGGACAGCGACTTTCTGCCACCTATTGGCCATTTTAGGTATTATATGTATTGATCCATGACCAGGCATAAAATGCACCAAATATACACATTCAGCAAAACAAAGTTTTATTACAGATTAATAATATACATATAAATAATAATATAAAATCCCAATCAATTTTTAGATCTGTTTATTTTTCTCTCACCGTCTATGTTTTCTATCAGACATCCAATTATCTTCCATGTGTTCATATGCTTGTGTGTGTGTTTTGTGTTCCAGCCTCCAGTTAGAGAGGGTCCAGTTACACGCAGTGCCAGTCGAGCCGCGTCCCTCCATTCACTGTCAGATGCCTCATCAGACTCCTTCAGCCACTCTCCAGGTGACACACACAAACGCACACACACTCATTCATGCGAAATGAATCACCTGTAAAGTTTATTCTGAGAAATGTTTTTCAGCCCCAGTGCGAGGCGCAGGCAGGCATCTGTGTTTGTGTGTTAGGAGCTTGTGTGTTTTATGTGCACAGCAGGCTCTGTCCATCTCACCATGCCTGACGTCACAGGAGAGCCACACTAATGACAAACAGACCATTCACATGCATACACATACGCACACACATATATATATAGCTCGTCCTGGAAGCGACAAGTTGTTTGTTTGTGTAAGCTTAAATACGACATTAATTATATACGTTCTACATGGAGAGAGTATATTTAAAGCATTATTCTGGATTTTATTAACATGCCACTGTATTTTCTGAAATGTACGTCACTTTTTTTGTAATCTGGAATGAGCTGCGACTTCTATTTGGAAGTGACTTATATAATCCAGTTACCGTCACACAGCCACATGTATTTGGATTCAAGCAGAGGCATGCGAGTTGTATAACGCAGCGGGTGATTTCAGTTTTACTTTAATTTGTTGAGATGTGACGCTTATTAATAAATGTAGTATATCGTGAATGACACTCTTATTTGTTTGCTTATAGATTTTAGGGATGCAACATGGGATGATTATTGATTTTGGTTGTGCAATTATAGTCTAAAAAATAATCATGGTTATCACGATTATTATGCAAGAATTAATTTTGAAAAACTACAAGTTTAGTGTTATTTATTGCTGTTATTGCCAATTAATACTGCCCAAACAGTCCATTTCTATTTGGACTTAAAAATGTGTAAAAAAATTATTTTACACAAAGAAATATAATAATAAAAATAAATGACAAAACAACAAAAAATGTGCACACACACACACACACACACACACACACACACAGACAGATATATGAATATATGAAGAGTTCGGATGCAAAACCCTCTAAATCCACCAGACCTCTTCTTTTGTAATTGAGCATTTTCTATCAGGCTCCTCTGATTAGGTTTAGAAGTGTCATTTTATATATAATGAAAATTAGCTGCTAAATAAAATAAATTTTTTTGTAAATGTCACTTTAGACAATACTTTGGTTTTTAACAAGGGAGATTTTCTTTTGCGTCAAAACCAGTTAAATCCACTTCAGCTTTTTTTTTTTTTTTTTTGCAAAAACGTCTAAATCCACTTATCGGGTCAAGACATTGTAATTGGTTGAAAAATCACTAAAGATGCAGAAATTATTTTACCAAGCATAAAACATGTTACACAAACCACCTGAAATTGAAAATACATAAATCTGTCAAGTAAGTGGCGGTTCATTCCACTGTGGTAACCCCTGATAAAGCAAGGACTATAAGGAAGATGAATAAATGAAATCTGTCAAGTGCAATAATCACTAAAATTAAAACTGACATTAAAATAAAATTAAAATCTTAACAATCTGTTGTTATTACTGATGTGGGATGTTGATTTATTGCAAGTAGAACAATGTAAACATTGTAAACTAAGCTTGGAAGATTCAAATAATGTAGTGTAAAAACATTGTGAAACATCTATATCTGTGCATTGTTCATTAATAAAAAAGTATTAGAATTTGTTGAAGTAATATAAATAATGTATAGTCGTATACAATATATTTATCTTTTTTTTAAGTAGCTTAAATTGGCAAATAAAACACAAGGTAGGCCTACTGGGCAAAAAGGGATGTCTCTCAGACACTTTTAGAAGCTGTCATTCATTCCTTCTCACCATACTCAAGGTCTTGGTGTCTTTTTTGTCTCTTATTTATAGCATCCATGTGGGATAAAAGAATGGCATCCTAACCTCATCTTTTGTGAAACGGAGTTGCCATTTAATGTACAGTAAATCAGACTCATTTTATTGTTCATTCAAAATGAATGAATGCATGCTACACTTTCAACTGTACATTGTGTTTTTTTCATTAAGGGTAAGGGACGTTTTCATTTGCCATTCACTGACAGTTGGACAGACTCATTCAGTTCATTAAACTTCGTCTTTTAAAATTGGAAGCAGATTAAAACACTCTCCTCAAAAAGCCAGCATATCAGCACTCCGTTACATTGAAAACATGATTCAATTCACGGCTTTTGATTGGTTCTCGGGATATAGCGGCTTTTGCTGTCAAAGGCAAGTGGCATTTAGAGGCTTTTGCAAACAAACTTATTCCTGAATGGGCAAAAATATGTGTGGACATGTACACTACGTGCCTTAAGCACTCACTCAATGTCATTATCTCATTTTTGGCAGAAGGGGTGTTTATCGGCTTTTGGATCTGAACTCTTCATATAATATAAAAACTAGTATTTGTCTAATGTAAATCTAAGGATTTCCCTTTTAAAGAAAACATGCATAGCAAACAAACATTTAAAGAAAACAAACATAGCATGCCTAAGGAAAAAGGAACTTGCATGTGCAAAATATGTTAATGGATCTTAGTTAATAGCCTTAGCCATAGTTAATCCTGTGTGCGAGCATATTAGCCTCCGTGTACAATCTCGGAACTATAAACTAGCGTAACTTTGTTAGTTGCAGCAGTTTTGTTCCATACTGAGACTAAGTCTGGAGAAGCTTTTAATTAATTAATCGTAACAAATTAAAGTACGGTTAATAGTGAAATCAGTTAATGGTTGCATCACTAAAAGATATATTCATATTTCTTATGTCTTGTTCAGTTTAATGTAATCATTGCTAGACAATTTAGTCACCAATAGTCTATTTTAGGTTATTTCTCTACACCAGTGCAATTTTTTTCCCCCTCTAAATTGGAAATGATGCAGTGTAAATTATCACCAGAAAATTTGATGAATAACCTACTGGTGAGCTTCCTTTTTATATATAATTTCTGATTAATTTTCTGACTGATGCTTATTTAAGGTAATGGTGAAAACGGAATAATACATTATTAAACGATAACTGCTGGTTTCATGAAAATGTGCCATTTGTTTCTCTTTGTAAATAAGAGATTTCTTCAGATGTGTTGACAGTCTTGTTTATTGTAATGAAGGCATTTGTGATGGTCAGGGGGTTTGTGTGAAGCTGCGGCTCAAGCAGTTTCAACTACCTGTGTAAACATGCAGGAAAGGCAACACTTCTTTAATGCAAGCTGCATATGATATATTAATAAAAGATTTAATTAAAAATCGCAATTCCAATATCAAATGATATAATCCACAGGTGTGATTATTGTGCAGACAATGTACATAATGCATTTTAATGGCAGCAAATGAAATGTACACCTTTTCAGTAGATTTTTTTAATAATTTAATATATATATATATATATATATATATATATATATATATATATATATATATATATATATATATATTTTTAAGCCAACATCCTGCAGCACAATTCATGCGAATGAGGCGCCGCATTAGCCAATCAGAAGCTTGCTCTTGTAGGAGCGTGATTATTAAGTAGTGCCAGTTGTTGATGTCCCAAGGGGAATTCCTCTTGCCCACACTACACAACAGCTCATCAAACCGGGCTCAGTTCAGTCGGAAGCACCGCTTAAAGCCTCCATCATTCTGGTATAGTTTCTGCAGAAGTTGATAAACTCACAGTGCTGAGTGCACCTCTGAAAGGATCTAGTGCACTCAGACACCACACTAAACGAATCTACATTTATGTGCTTTAGGAAGGCTGAAAAACGGTTACTATCGCAATAAAATCCATGTTAGTCGTTTAGCTACTGAACTAGGGTGAGCGGGCAGACAGAAGCCCTCCCCATGATGCAAATCTGCGTCTGTTGTGAAGTGAATTTGATGCACGAATGAAACAAGTTAACTCAAAATGTTTTCTTGTCTATTTACGTGCGATTAGTGCGATTTATTCACAAGTGCTGTGTCTGGTGTGAACACGGCATCAAAGTTTCTCTCTATAGTGGTTCAATTCTGCAGTGTCTCCACAAATCTCGTGTTTTTGACCTGTGGATTCTGGTCATCTCTATTCATAACTCAACATTGCATCTCTTACGATGTGACTATTGCGGACACACACATTGCGAAGTGGATGATTGAACAATGTATTGTGCAGCCATATATATATACTTGATTTGCCACTTGATTTCTGAGTTACTCTAGATTTGATTTGATTTTTAATTTTATTCTGTAAACTAAAGATATTTCTTCACAATTTAAAAAACATATTCTTGTTGAATCCCCCATTTTAAATGTTATCAGACAACAATTTTTATCTGGAGAGACTTTAAATAAAATATTTTTAAATCTAAAATTGTGCAATTATTATCAAAAGGAAACCTTAAAAACTGTTTTTGATTTTTATCTTATTATTATAATTATTATTTATGTATTTTACCTTGTATATTATTTATTGCTGTTGATGACTTTTAATTGTTAGAATGTTTTTATAATTTTAGAAAATCTGTAATTGTAAAATGTAGTAAACTTGATAGTTTTTTTTGCCATGACATAGCCATAAAAGCTGAAATGGCAATAAAATTATAACTCTCTCTCACAATTTTTAAATAATATATAATCTAGAGATATTTACATGCAATAACTAAAAAGACAAAACAACACCAATGTTTTAACTTCAAAGCAGTCAAGAAAGTTTTGTATGGTGGAATAAATCTGATTTACAAACACAACTATTTAAAACATTTAATGATGCATGCTTTTGGAAAATATTACCTTTTTTAACCCCAAATGTAAATGTTTACAAGACTATTACCTGATTTGATTTCCTCATGAACTTTAAAAATAGTTTTAACCTTATCGACTGACACTCTCTGCACACTTCTCTGATTTAAAACAAGATGCGTATGACTTATTAACAACAAAACCTAATTAAAATGGTTTAAATATGATGAATACACATATTAAAAATGGTTTCGAGTGATATACTCCAGAAGTATTGTGCAGACAAACTTCATAATGCATATTAATGACAGCAAATGAAATCTATACTTTTCTTCATTCTATTTACCTAATAATTGAATATAATAAATCCACTATTCTTCTGTATTATGTTAGTCTGTTGTCAGATGTTGGAAGGGACACAAGAGGGAGATAACACTTGCGTTAATCTGCAAACAGGACACAGTTATCAGCCCAGTATCTCGATATAGTCAGCCTGATGATTTTGTTCTTTGCCAGTGACTCTGCTCCCCCCCACCCCCTTGGCCTTCCAACGTTTCTGTCAGTCAGCACAAAATGTTTATTCTATTTATTTCATTTCAGTACAGTCATAGAGATATCACATTTCTGGTGATTTGTTGGCATCTGTTTGGAGTGTAAATCCTTTAGTCAACATTCAGAAAGCATTCAGACAAAAACAACACTACTACTCAGTAAAGTACAATTCCTGAGGAAAAAAATACTTGGTGGGAGTAATTTGAATATTTGTAATTAGTTACTACTTGACACAACATGAATTGTTGGTAATGTGTCTGTTTGTGTCTGTCTTTGCATACGTAGAGTCAGGCGATCGTAAGATGAATCTGAGTAACCTGCTGATGATGTACCAGGAGCAGGGCTTGAGCTCCAGTCCCGACTCAAAGGAGGAGGATGGCTCCAGTCTCTCCATGCTTCCTCATCTGGCCGACCTGGTTTCTTACAGCATTCAAAAAGTCATTGGCTTTGCCAAGATGATTCCTGGATTTAGGTAAAGTTTTGATTGCGTGATTGAGTGTGTCAGGGCAGTATTTTAGAAACTAAGACTTGGTTTCTTTTTGAGAAAATCAAGAGCTCGTTTTAATTGGAATTGAAGAAGAAGAGGGGCTTTATTTACTAAATTGCGATTTGAAGAGGCTAAACAGGTTCAATAAACACATATTTACATTAAGTGAAGTTTAATTTTAAACTAATTTCAAAAGGAGCATGTGCTCATGATTGACCCAGCTGGTCCACATTAGCTAATTATGATCCTCCAATCAAAGGATCCCAAATCACTATAAATATCCTCATTTCCTTTCTACAACTTATCATCGTCTGGAAGAAACCCCCCTCCTCCCCTTCTTCCTCCTTGATCCAGAATGGGCGGCACGGTGGCCCAGTGACTAGCACTGTTGCCTCACAGCAAGAATACCAATGGTGTAGGGTCCTCGCTGAGCCATCTGGTATTTCTGTATGGAGTTTGCATGTTCTCCCCGTGTCCGCGTGGGTTTCCCCCGGGTTCCCCAGTTTCCTCCCACCATCCAAATGTGCGCTACATTATAGATAAAATAAGCCAAAACCTTTTTTTTTTTATAATGTCTTACCCTCAGGACGTTCGCCTTGGCCTCAGCAGCGGGGGAGTTTGAGATAGACCTGAGCTCATTCTCCACTCGCCCTGCAAAAGGGGGGGAGCCCTGGGCTCTAGGATCCCTTGAGCTCAGGGCTCTCTCCCGGGACAGCATGCCAAACAAGCTATGTATAAATCATGAGCTAAGTGTGAACTCTTGAAATTATTATTTTATTTTAGCTATGCCTGTCTCGATTAGGCATTGCTTAGTTTAAGATAATCAGAGTTTAGTTTTACCGTACAACACTAGAAACCATGTTTTCCAAAAACATGACAAAATATTAAAGGTCTCGTGAAGGGCTTTGAAATATGCATTTTTATTTGATGGTTTATGCAATCTCAACTGAAACATGAAAAAGGGTGGAACATAGTATAGCTGTCTTACATTTTTATATCAGTTTTAGATCTTCTAAACCCAGATTTTGTCACTGTTTTGGCTCACACTAGCTTATTGATATCCTAACACTAACAATACTGATACTAATATCTTAACTTTATTTGAATTTCATGGGACACTTAAGGATATAATTCCGACTATAAAAAGTAAATTAGAGCAGTGGTTCAAAACAGTTACTTCATTAAAAACATTTTGTGATGAACAAAAAATGATTCATTTTACCTTGATATTCAGAAGGCACTGAGTCATATGTTATTCAGTGTAACAGTAGATTATCCGCTTGTTAAATTGTGACGTATGGTATACTGTTTCCGGGTCCAAGCAGCTACTCATTTGTATTGAGAAAATATTCATTTATGACCACTTTTTAGTCATATCACATATTGAAGTTAATTTAATATAAAATCGCTCATTCATTCATTTTCTTTTCGGCTTATTCCCTCCATTAATCTGGGGTTGCCACACTGGAATGAACCGCCAACCTATCCTGCATATGTTTTGTGCAGCGAATGCCCTTCCAGCTGCAACCCATCTCTGGGAAACATCCATACACACTCATTCACTATGGACAATTTAGCCAACCCAATTCACCTGTACCGCAAGTCTTTGGACTGTGGGGAAAACTGGAGCACCCAGAGGAAACCCACAGGGAGAACATGCAAACTCCACACAAATAAAAAACATAGTGTACACGACAGTCTGGGCTTGCTGCATAACAGACTCCAATTCTTTAACATTTTATAAAAAACAATCACTTTCTTGCCATCAGATATTAGGCATGGATGTATATGTATATTGTGATGGTGATTTTCGAAAGTATTACATCGCTTTGTAAACGTTTATTTGTACCATTTGTTGAGTCTCATACAGTATGATATAGCGCTTGAACCCGGAAGCCGCTTGGCGTGACATCACACTTAACAAGCGGATATGCAACATTTCTAAAATCAAAAATGTCATTGTTTGAGCAAATATTACTTGATGATATAATAATAGACTCTATATAAGGATGACAGAGCAGCACCAAAATAACAATAGTTTGTTTTTTGATGTTCAAACCACTAAGTTTTACTAATTTCTCAGCGAGATGTTTTTTTTTATCATTTTTTATATAATCAATTCTAATTCAATCAGTTATTCTTTTATGTATTTTACACTTATTTTGAGATGATATCATTTTGACATTACAGTGGTCTCTCGCTATACTTTTCGCGGCCTCCCAGTTTCATGGATTTGTTTTGTGCAATTTGACATACTTTTTCATTATAGCGCATTGTGTTCTACACAGTAATTGATATAAATCTTCTATTGCTAGCAGTGTGACTCTTATGTGCTGTACTGTATGTTTGCAAGTTTTCTCTCAACAATGTCAACGAAACATTTAGTACTGTCAAAGGCACCTGCGATAGCACTTACAGGCAGAGGAATGTTGATCAAAATGTTGAAATTCTGTACATGCTTAAGGAAGGTAGAAGTTATGTGGCTGTAGGGCACCATTATGGGATAAATAAATGAAGATCAAATGGTTATGATCTTTAGTTTCATTCTATAATACTGGACTTATTTTTCTATGAAGGTTTAAAGTTTAAGAGTGTTTATACAAGAGAGAAAACTGTGAAAATGTCTGTTTGAGAAAAGTGTATAATGTGTGTCGTGGGGGGTTTTACAGCCTTTAAATATCTATAATAATTGTAAAAAAAATAAAGCTGATTTCCTATTGTGGGTTATTTTTAGAACATAACTTACACGAATAATGAGGAACCACTGTATTCAGCATGCTATCATTTATTGATTTATCAACATTTATTGTCGAATAAAAATTGAACTGTCATTTTAAAGCTTTTTGCGCACAATAACAACAGGACAACACAATAAAAATGAATAATAAGATAAAAAGGTATAATAAAAATAAAAACAAATGGTGGAATAACACTGAGTTTTCAAAGACACAAATGAACAATTTGGAGATTGTTCTCCATTTAACCATGCTTGTTTTTAGGAAGTTTCATCTTTTTTTCAACCCCAAAGGTAAACGTTAACAAGACTACCATCAGATTTGATTTCCTCAGGAACATAAAAATAGGTTTGACCTTCTAGACTGACACTCTCTGTACGATTCTCAGTGCTTTTCCATGTATTTCCCAGCATCCACTGAATGTGTGTACATACATATGCATTATGGAGCGCGTGTTGCTGTGGGAACCATAGGAGTGTCATGTTATCTGAACTGAAGACACCCACTCCTTCTACATCTGCCATTCACAGAGTCCAGCATGAGCCAAAACTGACGCCTGTGTGTGTGTGTGTGTGTGTGTGTTGCAGAGAGCTGACGGCTGAAGATCAGATTGCTCTGCTGAAGTCCAGCGCTATAGAAGTGATCATGCTCCGATCCAACCAGTCCTTCAGTCTGGAGGATATGAGCTGGAGCTGTGGAGGACCTGAGTTTAAATACTGCGTCAATGATGTTACCAAAGGTACACATAAACTCAAGCTCAGATGCAGTGTGGTATGTTGCCATGCAGTGGTTGCAGTGTTATTATAGATGAGCTTTATTTAAAATAACAGGAAATAATATGTTGGATTATAGGTCTCAAACTGGATTCCTGCACAGTTTTGCTCCAAACCTAATCAAACACAGCTGATTCAACTAATGAAGGTGTTTATGATTTTGTTTGAACACCTCAATTATTTGGATCAGCTGTGTTTGATAGGGTTGGAGCACAACTGTGCAGAGCTGCGGCCCTCCAGGAATTGAGTTTGAGACCTCTGTGTTAGACGAATCTTTGACTTAATAGAAGTGTTATTTAGGCGACTAACTGAAATGAAGTATTGAAATTACTGAAACCAAAACACAAATACACTGAAGCAAATTGTGAAGTCAAAGTAATAAAAACAAGTTCATAATAAAATGACCAAAGTTTTAACTGAAATTATAAATTAAAATCTAATTCAAAATATAACAAAAATATTATATAAATGTGTTAAAACAGCACTGAACAGATATTATATTCTTTACTAGATGTATCTTGACTCAAACTATTTATTTGCCTTTTATTTTGTGTGAGGAGTTGGTCAGAAGGTGAATTGCAGGTTATACTTTTTAAACAATTATAGTGTCTCCAAAATCAAAGTAATGTAATGTAGCATAAAACGCATTAAATATTAAATATACGCATTAAAACAGCTTTTAAAAAAAGCTTGATTTTTTTTTTTTTTTTTTTAAAGAGCTCAAGCTCGCCCTCATTGGAGCCCAAGTGGCTCTGCAGCGAGCTGTGTCTCAGAAGATTCCCCCCCACACCATTACACCCCCACCAGCCTAAACCGTTGATACAAGGCAGGATGGATCCATACTTTCATGTTGTTGAAAGCAAATTCTGAATGTCGCAACAGAAATGGAGACTCATCAGACCAGGCAACATTTTTCCCAATCTTCTATTGTCCAATTTTTGTGAGCCTGTTTGAACTGTAGCCTCAGTTTCATCGGCTTGGCTGACAGGAGTGGCAGGTGCTGTAGCCCATCCACCTCAAGGTTCGGCATGTTGTGCGTTCAGAGATGCTCTTCTGTATACCTCGGTTGTAACGAGTAGATATTTAAGTTACTGTTGCCTTTCTATTAGCTGGAACCAGTCTGGCCATTCTCCTCTGGCGTCAACATGATATTTGCGCTCACTGGATATTTTCTCTCTTTCTGACCATTCTCTGTAAACCCTAGAGATGGTTGTGCGTGAAAATCCCAGTAGATCAGCAGTTTCTGAAATACTCAGACCAGCCTGTCTGGCACCAACAATCAAGCCACGTTCAAAGTCACTTAAATCACCTTTCTTCCTCATTCTGATGCTCAGTTTGAACAGCAGCAGATCATCTTGACCATGGCTGCGTCTGAAACCGCCTACTACTCAGTAGGTACTGCATTTGAATTCAAACGTACGACTCGGCCGTTGGAAAAGTACGTTCTATACAGTATGAATGTGAAAAGTATGAATGGAATTCAGACATACTACATCCATCATTTTGTCACGGTCACTACCTGCGTCAGTTGCGTCGTTTCACTTCCATTCATGAATTCTCTCACGGGGCATTATGGGATAGCGCAGCGTGCATGGGATGCGCACTTCAGAATCTCGCCGGAAGTAGTAAGTCATCCGAGTACTTCTAGCCTACTGATTTTCGAATTCTATGAATTCGGACATACTACTCGGCTCGCATACTGATTTTAGTGTACTATATAGTATGGAAGTATGCGGTTTCGGACGCAGCCCATGTCTACATGCCTAAATGCACTGAGTTGGTGCCATGCGATTGGCTGGTTAACGAGCAGTTGGACCAATGTACCTAATAAAGTGGCCGGTGAATATATGTAAAATATATAAGTAATGTCTTTTACATCACAAACATTTCACAGAAACATGTATGAGAAATATATTAATTCACATGGATATTACAGTACATTTGGTTATTCGAAAGATTTTATTAGACTTTAACTTAAGCTAAATCTGTAAATGTACAAACTAACATTAGTAACTAATTAGCATATATGACTCAAATATGGTATCAAATTATGAAAGCATTGTTTTGTTGGGTTTCAATAAACAAAAATTGATGATGAGAATTACTCTATTATAAATGTAATAAAAATGTTGAGCAACACATACAAGTGTTATATTAATCTTGTGAATCTCTGTTAGTCATTTGCCTAATGTCATCCTCCTGGCTTGTGTGTTTGTGTTTGTGTGTGTGTGTTTGTGGCGCAGCTGGACACACTCTGGAGCTGCTGGAGCCTCTGGTGAAATTTCAGGTGGGCTTAAAAAAGCTCAACCTGCATGAAGAGGAACATGTGCTGCTCATGGCCATTTGCCTGCTGTCTCCAGGTCAGAGCATATACACACCAAACATTACACAGACTGACACTTTAAAAACATCGAGACTTTTTATTTCCCCTCTAAATTCGAAATTTACATGTTGTCTAAATGTACATTTGAAAATTAGCAAACAATAAAGTAATTGTGATTTTTTTTTTTATTATTTTTTTTTTCTGACGGTAGTTTATATCGTAAATGTCAATTTTATTTTCCACCATATATGATTAATCCAAAGTTTATTTACACTGTTAATCTCACAGTTTAATTTTGGTCTGAGAATCTGAATTTGCATCATATTGTTTGACTTTTTCTGCATTATGAAATGACATGTGCTGCAAGGTTAATTATCTTATATCTTCTTAATGGTTTGACTAATTAAACATTTTTTTAGATGTTTTTGTCAGTATTGTCTATTGATGATAAATGCCAAATTTTGTGTATATCCATTAAGTGGTTTAAGAGTAGATTACTTTTTTGTCCACGCAAAATGGTTGCTCTACTACCACTTGCTGTGTCAGTGTTGTCCACCAGAGGGAGTCGTTTCTATGGAATGACTCGTTAATAGGTATATTCACACAGACTTTTTATTTCAGCCAGTCAGCCTCAGGTAAAGTCTTTTCTTTATAAAAATGCTGTTTAATGTGTGATTTCTTTAAAAATCAGCAATCCTCATTGCCTGATAGATATACAATATAAAGTGGGTCTCAGACTGGACAAGAAGCACTGTATTAAATTCTATTTCCCCTTGCCATCTCTTTAAAACATGAACTTTTATTTTACCCCAATATTTTCAATAGAGTTTCTGCGTTCACCTGCTGCACTAGTGGTTACACGCTGTTTCATATTGTTTTACACCTAAATTACTAAATGCTTAAGACTATTTTACTGAGTGTATTGTAATTACATTACAACATTGACGCTGTAAAAGGAATTAAATTGAAAATAGTCACATTAAGCTTACACTAGAAGTTTATAATCCGCTGAAAAACACTTGCTGTGCATTTACCTCATTATGTTTTCAATGAGACTTGTCTATTGAATCTTCTCATGCATTTCTCAATGCCATATCAAATTTTTAGAATTTATCACAAAGTTGTAACATTTTAAGTTCAGCTTGGATAGCCCTGTCACTGGTAATTGGGTGAAAATGGTTTATGGAAACAAAATGTTTAGCATTTGATTTACATAAAAACAGCACAATGTCAAGATTTTGACATCAGTTTAAAGCAGTTCTTTAACATCAGTAGTGATGTCATTTTGATGTCTTTTCATCATCAGTTGCCCAATAGCTTGCGCTTGGACCCTGATGATTGCTGGCTTTATTTTTTGTCAGTTCATACTGTGCAATTCTTACCTTTTCTCTCATTTGCGAGTGTATATTTCACAACTGCAGTTTAGAAACTCCTAAAAGCTGATTTATACTTCTGCATCAAATACACGCGTATGCTCTGGCACAGCCTTTGTGCGGTCGCATAGCCCTTGCCATGGCTGATGAGCACCTTTTAAAGAATGTTAGTAAACGTCGCAACAATGCATAGAGCAAGCTCTGTAATTGGTGGCATGGGACCAGCCACAAGAGGAGGTGAAGGAAAGTGGCATTAAAATCTGACTCCACTTCGCGTGCACGCACATCACGCAGTGGCTGCAGTTAAACTCTCAGCGGTTTATCATGACACTTTGATCAATCTTTTTTTTTGACAGCAAGAACAAACATAGAAGCATTGTCTGATTGACAAGCAGCACCTAATTATGTTTAAAAAAATGTAAAACTGCAAATAGGATAGATTTACACCCCATTTTAAAAGTAAAAGATACTCTAGGTAGTGTAATCTACACAACATTAAGTGCAGTGTGTGGGTGAGAGGGGGGGGCAGTGTTTCGATGTGAACCGGTTATGATGTGGTTCTGTGACCGCTGGTGTTGGTTGCTGTATGGTTTAAAATTATGACCGTTACAGTAACTAGCTTAATTTCTAATTAAATTAATTAAAAATATATGAAAATATTAGTCTTATACTTTGAGTGTTTTTTGTGTGTGTTTGGGTGGGTTTTGGACAGCTGTAAAAAACTCAGATATATCTGGCAACACTGCCTGAAAGCCATGTGAACCCGTTGGAGTGAGTGTTTACAAGTGTCGAGTCCCGTGAGGGAGCTCCAGGTGAAAAGTTTTGTTTTTGTGTTTACCTTATGTTAAAGTTGCTGCACAGCCATCGATTCCTGCCTCAGAATGAGCAAGCTTTAGCTACTTCGTCACTTTGGAATTGTAAGGTTCTATCTGCGTTCTGAATCATTTTGAGATAATACGTTTTCGCATTTCATTGCAAACAGATTGTGTGTAACTTTTTTTTTTTTTTTTTTTTAAATAAAAAGTCTTATAAAAAAACATCCCATAATGTAAATGTCAGTAACTCAATTTTGACAAAAATGTCGGATAGAACCATATAGTTCTAAGGTGACGACTTGTACATTAAGGTAGCGTCCAGAAAAAACACCAGCAGCGAAGAAATTTGACACAGCGGAACTAAAACATTGCACTGCCAGCATTTCTGGAGTGTTAATGCAGAGCAACGCATGATCACTTAACGCAGAAGTATAAAGCAGCCTTAATAGTGAGTGTACACTTGACTGTATTTCTGTGTTTAATTAATCTTTCGTCTCAGAATTCTAAGTTTCTGTCTTGTAAACTTATTATGAATTAAAAAATTAAGTGTCTTCATTTAGCGCACACACACACACACACACACACACACACACACACACACACACACACACACACACACACCAAAACATTGTCCAGACTGCAGCTTTAAAATCCTGCTTGTGATTTCAGATTGTACTCTCGTTAATGTGTATTTGTGTGTCCACAGATCGGCCCGGGGTGCAGGATCACGTGCGAGTGGAAGCGTTGCAGGACAAGGTATCTGAGGTTCTGCAGGCCTACATCCGTGCACATCACCCGGGGGGGCGTCTGCTTTACGCTAAGATGATCCAGAAGCTGGCGGATCTCCGCAGCCTGAACGAAGAGCACTCCAAACAGTACCGCTCGCTTTCCTTCCAGCCCGAGCACAGCATGCAGCTCACACCTCTGGTGCTGGAGGTGTTCGGCGGGCAGGTCACCTAGCAAATTCACCCCCGTCAGGAGAAGTGCTGCGGCTCAGACACACAGCGTGGAGTGGAGTGAATGTATGGACAATCACCTTAAAACACATACAGAGTTTCCAGGACGAAATTTGTGAGTGGTGTGTTAGTATGTATGGGTGTGTGTCATTTACAGATCGCTTAGGGATTGCCATAGGTGTTTCAGTTAGGTTTTTCGTGTTTTAGAAGGACATTCTTATGGGAGCTTGTTCTTGCCATGGAGTGTAAAAGAGAAAAGATTGTAGTGAGTTTTTATTTCACAATTCTCAATTCTTGTTTTTTTTTTTTTTATTAAAAAGCAATTCTGGATGATTTTGGGACTATTTTAAGGTTATATTATATATAACGGAAGCCCTAATCCAGCAAGGTGGAAAAAAAGCAATCTTGGTGGTTTTAACAATATAATGAAGTCATTATAACAACATAATATCTCGTTATAACAAGATAAGTTATATCTTTTTTTTTCTCACCCCTAAGATTGCTTTTTTCACATTGTGGTTCAGGGCTTCCATAATTAAACGTCTTATTGTTATTGTAAAATAACAACTAATTTAATGTAACACTTCGGTGACTGGAATGTCACTTGCCCCACCCTAAATTTCAAAGTTGAAGTCGGTCGTGATTGAGTGCTGGACAGAAGGAATCAAATCTGGAGGCGAATAAATGTAAAAACAAAATATTTTCTTAACAGTCTTTCCAATAAAAATATCGGCAGTTAAAACAATACAAAACTATGCATTGCTAAATCAATCAAGTATCGAACATATGTTGTGAAAACTAGACTAGGCTAGGCAAATAAACACCTACAGTGTTTCACAGCTCTTTATGGGTTACATTTAAGGACAAAATTTTAATCTGGAACAACAAGTGAACACATCAGTGCCTGTATAATTGAATATGCCTGGTAAAATTCCCATTGTAAAGCTCTTTGATTTCAGATTTTACTTAAAGCATGCACATTGACCGGTCTTATTCTGCCATCTTGTGGCTCAAATAGAAATTAACACAATTATGTCGAAAAAACGACTGAACTATGTCAAAATAACAAATTAAATATGTCGTTTTAACAAGATATTATGTTGTTATAATGAGATATTATGTCGTTAAAACTAGGTAAATTTTTTTTTTTCCTCATTGCCAAGATTGCTTTTTTTCACCATGTGGTTCAGGGCTTCTGAAAAATATAATTCAGACTTCTGTTCTAAGTGTTGGAAATTTATATATTTTTTCAGTTCTGACGTTTTCAATCTTGCTCTTGAAAGTTATTAACATTGTGAATTTACATTTTGCAGTTTAGACTTTCCCCCTTAAAATTTTTGATTTACTTAGAATACAACTCTTACTTTTTAGTTACCACAACAAAATAAACAAATAAAAAGTTATTTACTTTTATAATAAACAAAGATATTTTATCACAACTTTACTCATTTTTCCCCCCTGCAGTTTAGAAATTTAGACTTTCTAGAACTAGGGGTTCATAACATGAAGCAGTTCTGACGTTGTCTAGCAATTTTGAGTTTATAAATTACAAACTACATTTCGCAATATATATATATATATATATATATATATAAACTTTTTATTCAATGTAAATGCAGTTCTAGTTAAATAACATCTAAATTTCTAAACTGCAGGGGAAAAATATTTGCTTATTATAAAAAAAAACTTTTTTTATTTGTTTACTTTGTTGTGGAAATTAAAAAGAAGAATTTTATTCAAAGTAAATGTATTAATGCATCTGTCATTTATATAAAGAACTACATTTACTTTGAATACAATTCTACTTTTTAGTACCACAAAAAAAACAAAACTTTTTTTTATAAGCAAAGATTTATTTTCACAACTTTTTCCCCTGCAGTTTAGAAATTCAAACCTTATAGAACTAGAGGTTCAGAATATGAAGCAATTTTTACATTTTCTATCAATTTCGAGTTTATAAATTGACAACTACAAATTTTGCAATTTGTATATAAACTTTGTATTCAAAGTAAATGCAGTTCAAGTTCTATAAAGTCTTTTTTCCTGCAATTTAGAAATTCAGAAAATTGTAATTAAAATTTTTTTTAAAAAATAATGTTTTTTTATTTGTTTATTTTGGTGTGGAAACTAAAAAGTATAATTGTATTTAAAGTAAATGTAGTTCTATATATAAACGATAGATGAATAGATACATTTACTTCTAATACAATTCTACTTTTTCATTACTTTTTAATAACTAAAGTTTCATAATATATAACAATTCTGACATTTTCAAGCAATTTTGTTATCACTATTCATAAACTGATAATAGTGAGTTTAATTTTCACAATTTTGACCTCATTCCCTCCAGATATATAAATTAAATTGAGCAAAATATTTTTTTTTCTTCTGCTTTGAAATCAACAAATCAAAGGTAATTGTAAATTTACCATTTTTAAGTCTTATATCAACTTTTTTCCTCGGAGTTGCAAATGAAGTCATTTCTTTTTTTCCCCCATGGCAACAATAATCTTCCATGCATTCTTTCAAGAATGCAACACCTTTATGCTGTTTGTTTCACTGTGGCATCTAAATACAGTAATATTTTACTGTATCACAAATAGCCAACAGTATTACCCTGCATGTGTAGGATGAGTGTGTGAGTGCGCGGTCCTGTTCTAAACCTCTGCATGTTCCCCAAAGCGCTGTCCACTACTGCTGATGTTCTGTCTCTTCACCTCCTGCCTTTAAATGCACAGGGTTAAAATACTAATGCAAGCACACAGCTCTAACTCACCTCTCTCGCCTCGCCACTTAACCAATGAGACGGCAGCTCCGCCCCCTCTCCTCTGCCTCCAGAGCTCTGATAGGTCGCTGAGCAATGGCTGTCTTCTCTACTGTTATTTGCCTGTGCTGTGATTGGCTGATTACCCGACGCCTCTGCAATTAGTGCTTGCCACACAGCTAACCTGTAAATAAGACTCAGTATCTATATTCTTACTTTTCCAATCAGTGTAAATAGAGTTTGATATTAGTGCTTCTTGTGGCTTATGGTAGAATCTAGCAGAGGGAGACCCTGCAGCCCTGGCTGGTTATAGTAATCAGTGTATAAAGGTAAAGGCTGTAAGCTAATTGTGCGTTTGCACAAAGGAAATTGGAAGCATGAAAACTGAGAGCTTTACCGCTGTTCTTTTTACATTGCAAAATCATTTGTTGAATCATATAGCTTATGTATTTCTCAATGTTTGCATTCCAGTTCTCTTTTTTTCAGCTTTATTTTTTTTTCGTTTTAGCTTTACCCATCACATTTGTTTTTCTTCATGACAAGTTATGAGTTTATTTATTTATTTGAATCCTTTAGCATTATTTTTATTTCACATGTACAGTACATTTCACATAAGCAAGCATTACAATGGCTGGGTCATATTTCAACATTTTCAAAAGAAAGAAATTATCTAATATGATTTCATTTTAATTGCTATAAAATGATCATGTGATCATTTTTCTTATACACACTTAAACTTTTAAAGGCATTGTTCTCAAAATAATGACATTTTTGTCACAGTTTGCTCATCCTTTACGTGTTTCCAACCCTTAAGTATTTCTTTCCTCTGTTGAACACAAAAGAGGTTGTTTCTAAGAAAGCTTGAACTATTGGCTTTCATGTTATTTGTTTGTCTTACTAAGGATGAACACTACCATACAAAAGTCTTGTTGTCAAGCCTAGTTGTAAGAGCAACAAATAACTTCTAGTTGATTGTTTGGAAAAGTGGTAGAAGGTAGATTTATCTGATGAATCATCTGTTGAACTGCATCCCAATCGTCACAAATAATGCAGAAGACCTATTGAAACTTGCAATGACCCAAGATTCTCACAGAAATCAGTCAAGTTTGGTGAAGGGACAATCATGGTTTGGGGTTACATTTGGTATCGGGGCGTGCAAGAGATCTGCAGAGTGGATGGCAGTATCAACAGCCTGAGGTATCAAGACACGTGTGCTGCCCATTACATTACAAACCACTGTAGAGGGCAAATTCTTCAGCAGGTTAGCGCTCCTTCTCATACTTCAGCCTCCACGTCAAAGTTCCTGAAAGCAAAGAAGGTCGAGGTGCGCCAGGATTGGCCAGCCCAGTCACCAGACATGAACATTATTGAGCCTGTCTGGGGTAAGATGAAGGAGGAGGCCAAAGAATCTTGATGACCTCAGGGAGTCTTGCAAGAACGCTTTCTTTGCCATACCAGATGACTTTATTAATAAGTTATTTGAGTCATGTATAGATGTATGGATGCAGTCCTCCAAGCTTATGGGAGTCATACACCATATTCATTCATTTTCCACTGCACCATGACTTTATATTCTATACTCTACATTATTTCTGTTAAGTGACAAGACTTTTGTCTGAGCAAAGTCAGACCTTACTGCTCTAATTAATTAATAATCAAGGCATGATCATTTTATTTTGGCAAAATAAGTGTAATCTAGAGGCCTTTACCTTTCATATAAGCCACTTCTGATACCAAATGATCAACTAGAAGTCAAGTTGTTATTTGCTGTTCCTAAAACTTGGATAGGCGACAACACTTTTGCCAGGTGGTGTAAATGATTGGAGGTTTTCAGCTTTCTTCAAAATATCTTCTTTTGTGTTCAACAGAAACTTTGGAACCACTTAAGGGAGAGTAAATGCTGAGCAAACTCATTTTTGTGTGAACATTACTTTTAAATAATGTTTTTTTTCTTTATTCATATTAAAGCAATTTGTCATGATTGTCAGATTTATATATAAGAACGAGGACGTGAAATATGACCCTGTTATCTTCTTGACAGGTTTTGGGAGATTTAATTTTGGATTTGGATGACTTTAGTGGGACTTTAAAAGACTTTACTAAGAAACAAGGCTTACTTTTTTTGATAACTCTAATAGCAACATTCTGGATAATTTATTATCTTGACACTTGTAAACCGTAACAATGGTTGTACATGCAACCCTGGAGAATTTGAGGTGTTGGCACAGGCAGGTTCTTTAAACCAGTCCAATTACAGCATAATTACAGCATTTTTTCTTATGCTGGTTGTTATCTAAACAGTAGATAATGACGTCTTCACAATGGTATGTTTTTATCATTATTATAGCATGACTTTGGACACTATGTTAAATTCCACACTAGCCACTGCCTACATCGTGTCCTCTAAACCAAACACAACTGCCTTACCTTACCCTACGTACTCATTTTAATTGCTTTTTTTATGCTTTATATGTATCTCCACTGTGTATATAATAACAATAGTAGGCATATTTGCGAGACTGTTGTCAAGGGCTCCATGAGTCACATTCGAGGGCTGATACTAACAGAGCGCTTTCTCTCTGTTGCTTTATATATCTCCAGTTAATCACGTCTGATTTGTATGAATCTTCTTCTCGGTCAGGGCTCAGGGTCATTAGGAGAACTTTTCTGTGGTATGAGAGTTAATCAGAGTTAATGAAGATTGTCTGTAGGTGTGAGTTTAGTGTCGGAACTGGGTCGATGATTTAATGATTATGTAAGCTGAATTGAACTACCTGGAAACTGCGTTTGCTTGGAAAGACGAGCGCGGCAAGTGTGTGTGTCTGTGCGTTGAAGAAGCGAGGACGATGTATAGCATTTATCTATACACCAAGTATATTCATATTTGATTGGGTGTCGCATATTCGCCCCAGTCTAGGTGTGTGTGTGTGTGTGTGTGTGTGTGTGTGTGTGTGTGTGTGTGTGTGTGTGTGAGAGAGAGAGAGAGAGAAAAAGAGATAGAGAGAGAGAGAGAGAAGTTGATCGTTTTCTCAATACATTACTAATAAATAACGTAGTCAAGGCACTTAAGAATTAATGACATGGAAGGTTATACATATATATATATATATATATACTTATATATATATATATATATATATATATATATATAAGTATATATATATATAAGTATTACTTTGCAAATGTAAAAGATGAAAGTATTTTCTTGTAGACTAGTTTTGATATTCTGGTATCAGTGTACAGGTTGGATGCACAGGGCAGAGGGTTGTGTGTGTGTGTGAGTGTGTGTGTGTATGTTTGGGTAAGGAGTTTAGAAAAGTACGATTGAATGCTAACCTCCTGCCAAGTGCAGGTGAATACATATAAATATATCTATATATTTTTTTCTCTCACGATCTTATTGCTCTCTTTCGACTGTCTATTTTATCGTCTTCATGCCTTCTCTCTGTACTAAGCTGCTCAGTACTATGCGGGATGAAGGGTGTACACTCGATTCTAAAACTGGAAAACGATGAAAGCTTCCAGATCTTTTAACCATTCACTTCTTTTTTTTTTTCGCTCCAATGATTATTTCATGACGAGCGAGTGAGAATATCCCTGCAGCACTTACCACCATGACTAGATCCGACAAACCCGGCACTACTATGGCAAGCCGTTTTGACATTTAATCTATAACCTGTACTAGTATCTATTTTCATGGTACTAGTGCTTATTTTTTTAGATACTAGTATGTTTTCCATTAAGTGCTAGTACTTATTCATTAGATACTAGTGACTGTTCTTTTGGTCAGTAATCTCAAACACAATTCCTGGAGGGCCGCAGCTCTGCTTAATTTTGCTTTGACCACCTCCAACTCACAACTGCTTAATAGTTTATACTAGTCTCAAATAACTTGATTAGTTGGATTGGCTGTCTTTAATTAGGGTTGGAGCAAAACTGAGCAGAGCTGCGGCCCTCCAGGAATCCAGTTTGAGACCTTTGCTTTAGATACTAGTGCTTTTTAAAAACTACACTAGTGCTTAGACATTAAACAGTTTCTTTTTATTAGATACTAGTACTCATTCATTAGATACTAGTACCTATTAAATAGATGCTAGTTCTCATGTATTAAAACTTTTAATTGGATATCAGATACTAATTCTTATTCATTAGATACTTGTTTCTATTTAAAAGATACTAGTACTTATTCATTAGGTACTACTTTTTAAATGGATACTAGTTCTTATTTGTTAAATAATAGTACTTATTTTAATCGTGACTAGTAACTATTCTGTTGTTACTAGTAACAAATTTGAAAACATTTCATTGATTTCTGTGGCAAAACTATTCAGTTTTGACTATATGTATTCCAGCTGGGACTAGTACATATTTTTCTGTAGATACTAGTACTTATTAAATAGATACTGGTACCAATTCATTAGATACTAGTAACTATTAAATAGATACTAGTTGTTATTTATTAGTACTAGTATTTATTTATTAGACACTAGTATCTTTTATAATTATTACTAATAATAATTTTTACTTTACTAGTCAGTTCTGCTTTTTTACTCGTCTGTTATGACTAGCCAAAATAAAAGAGTTCAACAAACATTTTCCTTGCAAAATATATATATTTTTTTACCAATAACATTTCAAACAAGTAGTATTTAATAAATGTGTACTAATATCTTTTAAATTAGTTGTAGTATGTAATTAATAAGCACTATATCTATTAAGCAGATACTAGTGTCTACTGAATAAGTTCTAGTATTTGATGAATAAGTTCTAGTATCTAAAGATGTTTTCACACCTGCCTTTAGTTCGGTTGAATCTCACAAGAGTTCGTTTTCCCTCTTGGTGCGTTTCGTTTGGGCAGGTGTGAATGTAGCATTCGCACTGGAGTGCGCATTAAAAGCACACAAAAAAAGTGACTTGAACAGGTGATCTCGGTTCGCTTTCAAACAAACCCAGGAGCAGTTAGTTTGTGGTGAGAATATGATCCGAACTAAAACAGACCCACCGCAAAAATGCTGCACCTTTTTGTACCAATCCTGTCTAAAATAATTCAACCCCCTTAGTGAAAAGTGACATTTTGTGTCTGCTGGTTTGTTTACTTGCAGGAATTCCATTGCCATTTTCCCGGACGTTAATTCAGACCAATCGAAAAGCAGTTAAGGAAATACGTTCAATAACATCAGGCCAATGAGTGATGTGGATTTTGTCAGATAACTGCATT